TCCAATTAGCATTGTAGCAGACAGGTCCATAATGGAAAAATTTCAAACCAAATTTTTAAAAACCGTACTATCCAATCAAATCAATTCATCAAACGCAATGGTCTGCCTGGAAACAGGATTAGTAACAATAGAGGCCAGATTATGGATAAGTGTCCTTCTCATATTGGCTAAAACTTAATCACACTAACGTTTACCCACAATAGAGGCCAGATTATGGATAAGTGTCCTTCTCATATTGGCTAAAACTTAATCACACTAACTCTGGGTTTACCCACCTGATATTGAAGGACAACTTTGTATCCCCATGGAGGGAACTGCTGGAGATCAAACTGGGGTATTATGGATTCTCACAACAGTATTTAATGTCAGTGACCTACAAAGGACAACTTCGTATCCCCATGGAGGCAACTGTTGGAGATCAAACTGGGGTATTATGGATTCCCCACAACAGTATTTAATGTCAATGACCTACGACCACGCCAAAAGTCTGATTAAACAACGGATCTTAGACATGGAAAGGCAGCATGATCTGAATAGAGTCAAAGCGCACATAAGGGATATCATTGGCATCAACAGAAACACACCAATGCCTTATATAAGAGAACTTGAATATTCCGAAAATAGAAGAGTGTTTATGCTTATGCGTATGGACATGCTGCCTTCAGCCATCTTGGAGGGCAGATATAACAAAATCCCATATCTGAATCGCCATTGTCTATGTGGTGTAGGAAGCATAGAAACCCTGGAGCACACACTCTTAGACTGTAAAATTTACGATAAGAGCCGGGAATGATATATTAATTCAATTAATTTGAACAGCAAGGGTAGCAACAGGAAGGGCTGTCTTCAGACCCTGCTGGAGGACAGAAATAAAGTTACAACTTACAATGTGGCCAAGTTTGGACGCTTGGCCATCAAGCTAAGGCAAGCTTGGACCAACCAAACGGATAAAGACCCCATTAAGTAGCGTATGCTTATCTAAGGTCATTTGGGCTAGTTAAGGCCCCTCAGGTCATTACAGGATGACAGTGTAAAAATAGATCTATCTTATAAGACTCTTTGATATATACTGCACATATTAAACTTTACTGTTTTTGGAATTTTTATTTATGGTCATGAAGGTTTTGAAGACGTTGTTTTATTGGTTTGCAATTGACTTCATGTATTGATCCGTTTTAATGGCCTTTGGCTTAAAATTAAATAAAATTGAATTGAAATTAAATGAAATGAAAGAGAGAACAGAGAGTTTTGAAATGTTTGCTTTTGGTGTATAAGCAAAGGACATCAAAGAAAAAATTTGCCCAGGATATGATTGTTCATGGATATACCAGGACTCAGAGGTGACTAAAAAATTAAATATGGGACAATGGGGCTGGGAAATAATAGCATTTGTAAATGGTAAACCAAAAAAGGCTTTACAGTGGGGTCTTGACTTGACAAACTTAATCCGTATTGGAAGGTGGTTCTCAAGTCAAAAAGTTCTCAGGTCAAATCTGCATTTCCCATAGGAATGCATTGAAAACCATTTGATCCGTATCTGCTCTTTTCCGTCCATAGAAACTAATGGGAAGCTGCGATTCCGCCTTCGACCACCAGAGGGGGATATTTTGTTTCTTTTTTTCTTAGGTCAAGAAAGGTTCAGGGAAGGCAGGGAAAATACAGTCCAGGCAGTACCAGGCAGTCTGAAGACTGTCTCCCAATCCACTCCCTAAACGCTGGGAGAAGTGAGGAAGCAGACAGGCACCCTTTTCACTGGCCAACAGTTAACTGAAAGTTCACATTTTGCACTTTCCCTGCCTCCCACGTGGGTTTTTTCAGTTCTTAATTCAAATCTAAGTACTTAAGTCAAGTCAATGTTTTCCTATGAGAGCGGTTCTTAAGTCAAAATGTTCTTAACTCGAGCTGTTCTTAAGTCAAGACCCCACTGTAATTGATACAGGAAGCGGTAAAACTTTGGCAAAGGCAATAGAGGGTGAAACGGAAGCGGATGAGATAAATATTCGATGTATACATGGAGATATAAAAATGTACAAAACTGCATGGGCAGATGTGGAAACTGAAGGGGGAAAACAGAGATTAAAGGTGGGAATAGTACCTGGTTTAATAACAGAGATGATAATAGGAAGAGATTGGAAGGGAACTGAAAATTAAATTAAATTAAATAAGACTGTACAGATAGAATGTGGGCAGGGAGAAGTTGATTGAAAGGCCAAGTAATTCAATTTATGAATGTGAGAATTGCTTTTGTATCTACAATTAAAAACACTTGGAAAGGCCCCAACATTGTTTTCTAATATTGTGCCCACGTTGCCAGCAGGAAAAAGAATGCCAAGCTTTGCAGTGCTGTCTAGTCTGAATGTCAGCAGTCAAGATGATCTGCAGGACCTCCTTTTGTGTTCACTACTATTCACAAACACGAAGCAAGTGAAAATCCCAGAACCAGTTAACCACTTCTCATACGTACAAACAGAAAGCAATTGTCATCACTGTTTCTCAGGTTCTCTAACTATTAATTGCTTATGGCAAAACCACACACACACAATTCAAATGCCTAGAAAAAATCCTCTATTCAAGCATGGATTTTTGAGTTATCATTAGGTGTTGTGCTGAAACTTATGTTTGTAGTCAGTAGTTGACAGTGGCTCATTCACCCAGTCATACATGTATGTGAATCAGCCTTGAACTGATTGCAGTTGCATATGGAGGAGGATGGCTTTGACTTCACATTTCAGTTTCTGGATTCTTGTAGCTTCAAAAAATGAACATCATATTCCCTTCTTTCTCTCTGCGTAGAGGATCCTTCTTCTTTCAGTTAAATCCCTATATACAGAGGGGGGGAGGGAGAGAGGGAGAATGGTACTGTAAACACTGTGAAAGTTGACAGAATAAAACATGTGTTAGATTCTTGCAATATTAGATCAGATTAATTCAATCCTTTTATTCAGATAAGCTTGCACATTTTCTTTTGCTACCAGTTTTAAGCTAGTTTTCTCTCAAAGGAGTTCTCTGTTTTTAAACCAAAATTCAGCTTACCCAGTTATGGGATCTCAAAGATATTAAACCTGTGCTTTGAGACACAATTTTAGGAGGTGGGATATAAATCAAATACATTTGCTTGGTACAAAATGGGAAAAACTCTGTTCCCATTCTTTCACTTCTTAGGACAAGGTGGCAGGTAAACTCTAGGGAAGACCAGTGCCTGGGATTGTATCTTCAGATAGTGAAGGAGGGGGGAGCACCGAGTCATTACAGTCAAAAGGAAGAGCTCCCTCTTGAGTCAGACCAAGACTATACAAGCACTGCTAGGTCATTTACTAAGCTCTGAAAGCATGGAAACAAATTGTAATCATGAGGAAAAGAGGCACCACCATTCCCTCACTTGCCTTCTCCCTCCAGGCGAGTGTATTAAGAGCAGCCAGCACCATCAGAAGAGTGAATGACGGAGTCTTCGCTCCTCCTTCTCCCTAAGAAAGCACAAAGAAGTGATTAAGGGGCAATAGCAGCAGCTTCAAGAAGAGCCACTCTGCTCACTGGCCTGGGCTTTTGGGTGCTGGAGGAAGCAGAGGTGATTGTGCCATGTGCCATCTTTGTTTGCTTTCCCTTGATCAACCACTTTCTCTCTTCCTCCAACACTGGTCAGGAGCCCAGCAATGTTGACCAACTCAACTGGGTGAGCAAGAGACTGATGAGAAGCAATAATTTTATAGCCAAGAATGAAAGGTTTTCCCAGATTCTCTGCATGCACTGCAGGGGTACATAACTTTAGGGCCAATGCATTTTGTGCACACCCTTGACCGCTAATCTTGAGGCCTCTTTATTCTGAGTAGCCCTGTGTCTTCTACTTAGTGACCCAGTGTGGTATTGTTGGCTATGTACAGGTTTTAATGTATTAGCATTAATTAATCGATTTAAAAAACAAAATAACCCTGACATACATACCTTCAAGGCTCTCTCTCAGAGACCCAGTGATGAGGATGGGGTGAAGAGCAAGGAGGCAAATGGGTAGGATGGCCAACTGGGACCAATGCCAAGTTTCAAATGGTCTTGGAACTATGACAGAGATGTTGAGCCACACATCTTTACTATGGGAGAGGGGTAGAAGAAAAGATACGATTTATATCTTGCATTTCACCCCCAAATGAGATTGAAGATATCTAACAATAAATTGAACGGAATCATACCAGCTGAAAATATAAAACAATAACCTCCCAAAAATAACTTTTAAAAACAGTTTGAAACACGAGGTTCCCAAAGTGGTCTATATGGACACCCAGAGGTCAATTTCGACTTGCAGGGGGTCCATGTCAGAGAGAAAAAAAATTGGGGGTGCAAGTTTAGACTTGTATCAAAGCTTTGCAGGGGCAGGGGGTCTATAAAAAGAAATAAGTTGGCAAGTGATCTACGGGGCAGAAGAGTTTGTGAAGATGGTGCAGTATTTGGAGTGTTAGACAAGGACTCGGTGTGGCATTTACCACGTGGCCCCTGCTTGTTCCACCAAACCCAGAGCTCACAAAAGTACCTCAACACGCCGCCACCAGTTGATCTCTATATCAACTTAATTTTCTTATGAAAGACTAAGGTCCATCTAGTAATGACTTTTTAACAGGAACAGGTTCGGTGTGGCATTTACCACGTGGCCCCTGCTTGTTCCACCAAACCCAGAGCTCACAAAAGTACCTCAACACGCCGCCACCAGTTGATCTCTATATCAACTTAATTTTCTTATGAAAGACTAAGGTCCATCTAGTACTGACTTTTTAACAGTCTTTTGATTACATGTGGTTTCAGGTAATAATTCTCATGCACATTCTTAAAGTTCCACACAGCTTCAACATTTTACTTTAATCTCTTCTATATTAATTAACACTCATCACACTTTGACTAATCACTGCCTAATCACTTCTTAAACACTCTCTGCCTAAAAACCCCAAACTATTCTGTGACTCTGACTGAACTTCTCTCCCAGGCTCCAACTCTTCAGCAGCCCCTTTGGCTCCTCCTCACAACCATATTATCATACAACTTATGAGTAATGCATAACTTATACAGTAATGCGTAACTTGGGGTGGACGCCACACTTGGTGACTTGAATTCAAATTCCTACTCTGTCCTGAAACTTACTGGGTGACCTTGAACCATCTCTCAGCCTAATCTACCTCAAAGTATTGTGAAGATAATGTGGGAAGGAGATGAGACATGTGCACCACTTTCAGTTCACAAGAAGTATAGATATAACAATATTTTTTAAAAAAATCAAACAAATGCAGCACCACCATCAGACATCCTGTCTGCAATATCAACCAGAGGGAAACAATACAGGTGAAAAGGGAGTGGAGCAGCTAGGAGCCCCTCTACTCATGTTCTCTCTCTGTATGGCACAGACAGAAGTCCCACTGCCCAGGGGTAACATACATAATTTAGATGAGGTACTGAGTACCTTACTGTTGGCCCAGGTGACCAGAACCAGCAGTGCAAGGAGCAGCCACTGCCAAGGTTCTCAAATGTACTATCTCTCTTGGGGACCCAGCAGTTAGGATTGGGCTACGGGGGTGGGGGTGGGAGCCAGCAAGGAGGCAAAAGTCAATTAACCATTTCCACATCACCAAAATGAAGACTACAAGAGGACACTACATAAAACTGCATATGCTTATGTGGAGGAGAGACAGAAAAAGAAGAGAGAGAACAGAGCGAGCCGTCCTCATGAACAGAAACACTGGAGCATGAGAGAGATAAGAGAGGGAGAAATAAATGAATGGAAAGAAGTGATGGTAGAAGGAAAGGGAGGGATAGAATCGAGGAGGAGGAGGAAAGTTTGAAGTCTGTTTAGTAGAGGAGGGAGGAGGAGGAAAGGGGGAGGAGTTAAGTATAACAGTGTGGGAGGATGATATAAAAGATCAAGGAGGGAAGGTTTTGTGGAGGAGGAGAGAGAAGACGAGATGAGTCTACTTATGAGAAAACCCACGGGTTATTGAAAGACTTCCCCAACTTGAGAGTGGACTACTGCCCGATCTGTGAGAATGTGACTGATGTCTTAGAAGGGACAGTAATAGCCCAGGACAAGGATGCAGAAAGAAGGTGATCAGACCAGACATACAATTAACCACCGAAGGAAGGAGACTGGACCCAACATCCATGCTGTAGGACAATATGTGCGGTGAGGAGTGCCTCACTGAGGAATCCTACAGACCGGGAGCGGTTTGGTCCAGCCCCCCAGTGAAGTTTCCACATCTACAAACCGAATTCATGTCACTGAGTTATAGACAGTTGCCCAATTTGAGTTGTTTCAATCTGACTGAAGTCATTGTGGAATCACCAAATGTTAACATAAAGTTGTTGATGTTCCAGAAAAGCCTCATTGTGGAATCACCAAATGTTAACATAAATAAAGTTGTTGATGTTCCAGAAAAGCCTCAGTCATCATTTCCTGCCAAAAAGGAGGAACTGCTCCAAGTTTTAAATGAACCTAATCACAGCTTTATATATACAAAAATAAAATTACATATCGCCAAAAAGGAGGAACTGCTCCAAGTTTTACATGAACCTAATCACAGCTTATTTATATATACAAAAATAAAATAACATATATTTTTTTCAAATACTGTATAAACAAAATTACAATGCATCTCACTTGACTGAGTAACCAGGTGAGACGTGCAATTGCTGAGTCTACTGCCCAGGTGCTCACAATGGATGCACAACTTCAAGGTCCCTGATCTTCCTTAATATGTTTAATTACATATAATCAGGCCAATTCACTCATGATGCCGCTTGCCAGTTTTCTATGTATAAGGCCCACAGAAACAGTTCAACATTCCCTCCTTCTGGAAGCAACCTGGGACTGTGCAGCTTGTCCAAGGCTACTTGGACTGTCTCTCCAAGAGGGACAGTGGAGAACTGAACTGGTATCTCTGGTACACAATTCACAGAGCCATTTCCCTCCTTGTTGTTGTTGTTGTTATGGGCCATCGAGTCGCTGCTGACTTAAGGCGGCACCATGAATGAGTGATCCCCAGAATGTCCTGTCCTTAAAAGCCATGTTCAGCTCCTGTGAACTCAAGGCTGTGACTTCCTTTAGGGAGTCCATCCATCTTGTGCTCGGTCTTCCCTCTTTTCCTGCTGTTTTCCACCTCTCCCAGCATTGTCTTTTCCAGAGAATCCTGCCTTCTCCTGATGTGTAACAACCATGAAGGCATCTTCCCTCCCTACCTCAATCAGGAGTGGGGGGGATGGACAGTCCTTCACCTGGCAGATCCTTTCACCAAGGACAGTGTTCGGACTCTGCAGCGCTTCCAGGAAGGACTATCTTCCTTTTTAAAAGAAAAACCACATGTGGACACCCTGAGAATAAGAGTTTCCTCACAAATATGTTACTGGGACGCCACAAAAAAGCTGGAACCGGCCCTGGCGCCCATTAAAAAAAAAAGGTCGCCCACGGTGGCAATAGTTTGAACGAAGCTTCCTGCCACTTGTTCCTTCGCGGGCTCGCTTCACGGCAAGTGACGGTTGGTGAGGAAAGTTACCAACGGTAACTGCCGACGAAGCTTCCCGCCACTTGTTCCTTCGCGGGCTCACTTCATGGCAAGTGACGGTTGGTGAGGAAAGTTAACAACGGTAACTGCGGAAGAGACGGGTCATGTCGAGGAAGGCGGGGCTAACATTCGACGGCTTTTCAACCGCTCGCGCCCTCTGGCTATTCCCCACTTCTTCTAAGGTCAAAAAACGTCAAAATCTTCACTGCGCAGGCTCGCCAGGCATATTAAGCATGTCCCTTAAGAGCTACCGTATATCCGTAAGACGAATAATAATAATAGGTGGAGCGAATCGTTGTACGACTTCCGGAGTCAGCGAGTCGTGATGGCGGAATATGCTTGTGTTAAGAAGACCAAGCTAGTTCTTAAGGGGACGAAATCAAAAAGGTGATTCTTTTTTTCTCTCGATGGGATGTCATTAGTTGTTACGGGAAAGTGGAATTTTCTCTTATTTTCTGGTTTTGAAACGCGATATGTTCTTGTCTGTGACCCTGTTTTCCCTGCCTCTGAGATCGTACAGACTGCTTTTCTCCCTCTGCTGTGTAGCTGCGGTTGGATCCTCACATGCGCAGGAGGATGCAGCTTATTGATCCAGAGAATGTGATTTTCTTGGATTTTTCTTGTGAGACATTTAAGTTTTCTTTAAGGTGGTTCTGAACCTTGGGTGACGCAGGTGTTCGTGGACCGCGATTCCCAGAAGCTCCGGGCAGCACAGCTGATGGCGAAGCCTTCTGGGACTTGTAGTCCAAGACCACTTGGGCTACCCAAAGTGGGGAACCACTTCTTTAAGACCACAAGCGCCTTTTTTGAAAACCATAAAAACAGCCAAAGGTGATGGTTTCCCCCTGATTTTTTTTTGTAGATTAACTACCACTGTGGAGATATTTGCTTTGGGTTTTGTCACCTCATAGCCAGGGTGAATCAGTTATTCTTTTTAAAATCAAGTTGATTTAAATCATGATTTAAGTTTAAAAAAATCTATTTTGTTTAAGTTGTAAAAAATGAGACTTTTATTTAAATCATAATTGAAATTGTGATTTAAGTGAATTTGATTTAATTAAATCCAATTGCTCATAGTAGCCATTGTTCTGAACCGTTTTCTTCAGAACCAGTCCTGATAGTCATTTTGGCCAAAATCCTACTGATACTCTGCACCAGTGCGGGAAAGTTCATGTAAGTTGTGGTAGCCCATTGAAGTAATTCACAAGGTGCTGATGGCGTGCCTGGTTACTGTGAATTACGCAGTTTGATTTGCCCATGTGTATCCCTGGTCCTTAAGAACTGGTGCCCAAACTTGCTTTCTTCTTCATCCATCCCTGTCATTTCTCCCTATATGTCAAGATAGTGTCTGTTTTACTGACAATCTTATAATGTTGATATTGGTAAATCAGGGACCTTTTTTTTGACTAAAAAGTGGAGTAAATATGTTTTAACTTGAAAAAAAAGCCCGTAAAGTTTCTTTGACTATAAAATCTTCTCAAATCTCTTATACCCAGGTTGGGGACTGAGATGGTTAGGATGCGGGTTGCATTTAGATAGCTAATTTGTTACTTTAAATGGGGGAATCTTTGTTATTTTGTCTATGTCCATTAAAAGAAGTGCTTATTAGTAATAGCTTGCAGTTCCAAAGTGAAACAGTCTCATAGTTGTTCAGGTGTACTGTGGTCCTTTTCAGTTGAACCCTACTAGTACCTGCATCTTTCTCCAAATGTAATTGTTACAGGTACATGTTTCCTTGCACATCAATACCTTTTGGGTTCTGAATCTAGTTACTTTTTATGTTACTTTTTGTTTGCATCTCTTATTTGAGGATCCATGCTGCTGGTGAAAAAATTGAGACAGCTTAACAGTACAACCAAGAGTTTTCCTTGAACATCTATGCTATCACTGCTTGTCTTAGAGGTTGCTAGGATTTGAAAGGGGGCATGGGCTGTCAGCACTGTGTATTACATGAAAGGCAGTCAGCTTATTTTGCATTGTGATCCTTTTGCAGTAAGAAAAAAAACCAAGATAAAAAGCGGAAAAGAGAAGAAAACATTGAAGATCAACTTGATGTTGTTGGTAAGCTGTCTTTTGCTATAGAGGCTAGTGACAAACATGGCCTTTTTATAACAACTAGGGCTCAAGGTTACTGAGAAAGTGCTAATAGTTTAAAGCAGAAAGAAATTAGAGTTTGTGGAGCCTCATGGCACAGTAGTTAAACTGCAGTACTATAGCGCTGTCCTCTGAAGATGCTGGCCACAGAGACTGGCAAAACGTTGGGAAGAACAACCTTCAGAACACGGCCAAAGAGCCGGAAAAACCCACAAAAATCACCTAGAGAGTGCTTTAAGTACTATGGAGTGGTATAAAAGCAGCACACTTAGAATTTTGATTGAGCATAACAGTTATACTCGTGTCCCTATCTCTTTCATGGGCACAATGTGTTAAACAGCAATATAAATAAATATGGCCTCTAATTTTCAGCCTCGCTTGATGGGGCTCCACCTCTCTTGCGCGAGACTTCACCTGGTGCACGTGTGCCCCCACATCCCCCTCGCGCAGGCTTCCATGATGACTAGAACCAAACATGATCACTGCGCAGAGGAGGAAGAGAGCTGCACAGGGGGAGGTGGAGTCATGCACGTGCGCGCCTTGCTTAGAGGAAACCTTGGTCAACATCAATTTGACCTAGCTTATTTGATGATGTGAGTATAAACCTACTCCCCTCCCCAGCTCTGCTGTTGAAAAACATAGGTTTGTGCAGCTTTTACACCATTCCTTATTGATGTTTTTCCCACCTTTGTCATCTACTGTACCCTTAGATTCCCATTTCTCACCCCACTGCCTGTTCTGCACTCTCCACTCAGCCAACTTGCCTGTAGAATTCCTGCACCTGAACTTCTCTGCTGCCCAGGATCTCTTTCTAGTTGTCAGCCTGTTCCTAAATTTTGTGTAAAGCTGAGTTTTGAATCTTAATCAGATTGATAGATTTCTCTTTCCTCAAAGAAACTGAGTATGCATTCCAATAGCCACCTAGAACATCTATGAAAATTCTATGCCATCATGATAATCAGAAATCCTCCAATTTGTTCCACAAATATAATAAAATTTGAATACTACAATATAGTACAATTTAAATACCACTTACTCTGAATGCTGATTTCTTTTTTGCTTCTAAAATGCAGCATGTCTGTGTTAATTTTTGAGAGATACGAGGGGGTGCTGATAACTACTGTGCCTTTTCTAGAAAAAATTGAGCTAGGAAGCTGTAACTGCCACACTATTCTACATATTCCCCCAGAAAGTCAATGCACTTGCGACATCTGTCCTGCAGCTTCTTAAGTCCCTGCAAATAAAATTCTTCCGACTGCTGGTGTAACCACTCATTTGCAGCATTAGTTGCCTCCAGAACACTCCCAAATCGTTGTCCCTTTAGGTGTTTTTTTGAGTTTGGGGAACAGATAATAGTCAGAAGGAGCCAGGTTGGGAGAATAGGGGGGATGAGGCATCACTTGAAAGCCTAAGGACGTCAGTTTTGCCAGTGTTTCACCTGCAGTGTGTGACAGTGCGTTGTCATGCAACAGGACGACACCTTTGGAGAGCTTTTATCAACATTTTCCTTTGATGTTTTGCCTCAACTTCATCAATAAAGCACAGTAATATTTTGCATTGATGGTTGAACCCTGTTGGAGGTAGTCCACCAGCAGAACTCCCTTCTTATCCCAAAAAACTGTTGCCATTTGCTTCTGCACCGACCTTTGCACTTGGAACTTCTTTGGCCTGGGGGCCAAAGAAGTTCCTCCATTCCTTAGACTCAATACTTATCAGCACCCCCTCATAAGCCATCCATTTTTGAGGGACAAGTTATATTTTAAGGGAGAGGTTATGTCATTCTGTTGCATTGAAAATAATGAAAAAATAAAGGATCTTATAGCACCTTCACGCCTAACAAAGTTTATTTAGTATAAACAATTGTGGATGACAGCCTGCTTTCTCAGATTCTATTTATGCCGAGTAAAATTTGCTGGCCATTAAGTTACTGGTTTTTTTTGTTTTGTTTTGAACTGTGCTTATACTCCGTCCTTCCTGCAAGGCTCTCAGGGTCACATGTGTGTTTCTGGCACCCTTTTTAAATTCACAGCAGCAATATGAGGCTAGCTAAACAGAAATTATGATTTGCAAATGGGGACTGGAACTTGCATCTTTCCAGACCTAGTCCAATACTCTTAACCACTACACTGTGCTTTTCATGCAGGCTCTCCATTGTTGTTCTCTCATTACTATAACCCAAGACGTGGCATATGACAAGAGGCATTCAGAGATGTTACTGGTGCTCAAAGGAGCCTTTTACCTTCAGCTGAATATGAGAAGAAGCAGCCAATATAATACTTTGTCTGTACTGAAGCATTACCACAACTCTATTGAAGTTCAGTGCTCAATGTTTTTTAGTATATTTCTTGTTGCCACAAATTGTCCCACAACACATGCTTATAGTGTACTATAATCACATAAACATTTTGCAGGAGCTCCATTTAGCTTTATTGCTCTACGTATGCTTTCAGCTATTTAGCTCCATTTAGCTTTATTGCTCTACGTATTTTTTCAGCTATTTACACTTAGTAACTTTCAAGACTGAGAGCAGATGAAGGACTTGCTCCTTCCAAAACCAAAGGTTATGAAATGATCTGTTCAACAGTCTGATGTGTTTATTGTCACTGACAGTTTGAACATCTATGCTATCAGTTTGTTGATTGAGGTGCCTTTGTGCATTATGTTTGATCTCTTTTTAATTAAAAGTGTAAACAGAGAACTGAAAGCTTTCCTGGTAGGCAGTTGTTGTTTTTTCTACATTATGAATCGGAGAATAGGTATGATCTTGATTTGTTTTTGATTTTGATTTTCTTTTAGAAGGCTGGTGGACAGTAACAAACTTTGGTGAAATCACAGGAACTGTAGCAATAGAAATGGGTCTTGGAACCTATATGAGTGCTCTTGACAATGGCCTTTTTACACTTGGGGCCCCACACAAAGGTTAGTATCCATTAACATGGAGATACTTTTTTCTCTCTCAATGTTTTTTCATTCTTATAACCAATAATAGGATCCTCTGATTCTACATAAAATATTGTCTTTTTACAAATGCCTTTAGATGAAGGCCCTAGCCCTCCTGAACAATTTACTGCTATCAAGCTGTCAGATACAAGGTAATTATTCTCCTGGGCTTTAGGTTAACTATTAAGTTAGATTTCTTTATATAAGAATGTTTGAGATGGATTATAGCTCTCCCCATCTGAGTGTGTTAAAGGCTTAGAAGCAATATTGTTCCTCATCTGATACAGTAGAAGTATAGACCAGTTCAAATGTGATCCTAATGCAGTTATCTGACAGAGTACTTCTTGTGCACTTCAAATGACATATTGAAGTATCCTGTGAGGGAAGCTGTGATGGCCACCCTCTCAAGCTCATGCACCCAGTGGCGTGTTTGGCTCCAGATTCCAAGCATGTCAGAAGCTGGAAAAGGTTATTTGCGCAAGCTAAAAGGTCAGAACAGGGTTTATGTTCACATAGAAAAATTGTCTGTGTATACATTGGCAGGGAGATAGAGTAATTCTGCGGTTTTCCAAACCTGCAGTGGCCAGGACTACCTGGCACCACAAGCTTCCCATTGACTCTGTTTTTCCTCAGTGGGAACCTTCTGATAAGTTTCTAGTAAACATTTCGTGGAACATGGTTTGAAAGCTATTGACCCTAGTAATGATCTGATCAATTACTAATCTCATCATCTCTTGCTCTTCTTCTTTCAGAATTGCATTGAAATCAGGGTATGGTAAATATCTTGGCATTAATTCAGAAGGACTGGTTATTGGACGCTCTGATGCAATAGGTTCCAGGGAGCAGTGGGAGCCGGTGTTTGAAGAGGTAAGTGTTATTTTTAACACATGCTGTGGTGAATTTAGATGATAGATCATTGGTTTGTCTGGAATCACAGCTGAGTGGTGCGTGCAGAAGGGCAGGGGTTTATTTCCTAACCTCTCCAATTAAAAAGGATCAAATAAGAAGTGAGGGAAAGACTCCTTCCTGAGAGCAGGAACAAAGAGATTTTGACCCTGTATAGGGTTTGGACTACAACTCCCAGAGTTCTTGACGTGTTGGGTGTGGGTTGATGGTAAACCGAAAACATCTGGAGAACCAGAGATTTCACATCCCTGCACTGGAATTCACCTGTTAGCCTGAGTATGTAATAGAGATCTACAGTGGGCCAAACACAGTGCTTCAGGCCTCAGCTTTATGTCCCACAGCTAATTTTTCCCTTCGTCCTTCTTTTCTTGGCCATTGCACACTCAGCATAGTCAAAAACCACCTTCATGTTTCTACTGCTCTGGCCATGCCCACTGCTTAAAGACAGAGGATCTACCCCCAGATTTTTTTGTGGTCCTTGGTTCAGGAGGGAAAACAATTATCCATCCAGGTTTATTGGCTTGTGGCTATAAACTGGCTTTCTGTGTTCCTGCCTCTGGAGGAAGAGCTTGAAATTGAGACCAGCTAACGGTAAAAGAGCATTCTCTATGAGGCTATAATAAAATCTCTGAAATGCCTGTTTGGTTCAGACAAACAACTGTCCTTGAAAGTAATTTTCAGCTTACATGTAGAGCTAATACTAACAAGAAATTCCAGGTTTGAATTCTAAGCCACATATTTCAAATGGCAGTACACAAATTCAGATTTACAGTAGCATTTAATGATTCCTGAATGAAGTGGGTTTGCCAGCTTTGAAATGTTGTTCTCCCACTGTTGAAAAAAAATGGAGCAAGATCTAGAAAAATGAATGTATAGAAACACGTTCATAGTGGTGCTATTCCTTTTTTTTTTTAATATAGGGGAAAATGGCTCTGTTAGCAGCAAACAGCTGCTTTATCAGCTGTAATGAAGAAGGCGATATAGTAGCCAAAAGTAAAACGGCAGGAAGTGAGGAAATGATTAAGGTAACTTGTATGGCTTGTAAAAACAATCCTTATATTGGTGTGTGTGAATACTTTAAGGAATATTGCTGAAACTTGTGATGCTCCTCCATATAAAATCACTTCAATACCTGGCACGGGTTGTCACATAGTTTCTCCATCAATGCATTGTCCCTAGGCTAGCCTTCCCAGCTTGGGTCCCTGCAGGTGTTTTAGCCTCCAACTCCCCTTACCTCAGACCGGCGTCAGCCATGTTGCCTGGGGTTGATGCAGATGGTCAGCTAGAACACTGGCAGGAACCCAGCTTCAGGAAAGCAAGTATCACTGGATCATCTGTTTTTGTTGTGCATCGTGGTTTTAAATAACACATAGAGAGGAACGGGAGAAACTCAGGAATTTTAGCTGAAGGAATTATTCAGAATCAAGCCAGTTTGGGGAAATTACAGTTTCAAATTACAGTTTAGGACTTCCGGACATATTGCAGTGTTGTCCAAGTGGATCTCTCTTCATAAGGCGAGACATCTCCTTCTCTCCTGCATCACCCAGCCCCCCCCCAATCTGTATTTGGGTGGCTATTAGGAAAAGGAAGACTCTGTTCTGCAAGAGGGTTCATTCTATTGGTGGACAGAGTCAGATGTCATCCTCTAGCCGCAGGGTGGAGTCTCCCTCTCTCCATGTAGGAAAAGAGCTGTCTACAGAAACATTTTTTTCCCTTGCAATCTACAAACTGTTATCTTCACTCAAAGCCCATCTATCAAGATAGGGAACTCTTTGCTAATGTGATGTAAAATGATACTGCTCCAGTCTGCATGTATAAAATGCAGCAATGAGGCTTTATGATAAGATGTTGTAACTTCTTGACTTCATTTATGATTTCTGCGCCACTCTTGGTGAAGAGACCCAGGGTGGTTCGCAAATGGTAGAAAAAGAGATGCAGATAAAAGCACAACATACAGTGGACCCTCGACTTACAGACTTTTCAAGTTACAGACTTCTCTGGCCACAAAATTTAGGTTCAACTTGCAACCAGAGAATCAACCTACAGACCGGAAAAAACCCAAAATGGAACAAAAAGGAACAAAAACGTCTGGTTACAGATTAATCGGTTTTCAATGCATTGTAGGTCAATGGAGCCTCGACCTACAGACTTTTCAACCTGCAGCCACTGCTCCAATACGGATTAATTCCGTAAGTCGAGGGTCCACTGTATTATTTATATCTAGATAGATAGATAACAAATGGAATTCACTTAGAATTTACTCTGATATAAGTCAGATTATGTAAGTCACTGCAGTACATTGTAGGTGGTTAACAACGGGCTGACTGCATGCCTACTTCCTCACCAGTTATGCAACCTGGCATCTGACTTTCACCTTGTTAATTACCTGCAGTTTGACTTATGATTACTCTAGAGCAAAATTCCATTTGAATTCTGACCAATAATATTAATAATGTAAAAACTATTTTAAAAATACTTTTAATATCCACTATAAAAAACAATACAATATACAGTCGTGTCTCGCTTTACGATTGCCCTGTATAACGACGAATCTGCTTAACGATGCCTTTTTTGCGATCGCAAAAGCGATTGCAAAACAATGCTTCCTGTGGGCAAAATCTGCTGTGCGATGATCGGTTCCCTGCTTCGGGAACCGATTTTTCGCATTACGACGATCAGCGAACAGCTGATCGTCGGGTTCCAAAATGGCCACCGGCTGAAGAAAATGGCTCCCCGCTGTTTTCTAGGACAGATTCTTCGCTAGACAGGCACCGAAAATGGCCGCCGTACGGAGGATCTTCGCTGGATGGTGAGTTTTTAGCCCATTGGAACGCATTAACCAGTTTTTAATGCGTTTCAATTGGTTTTTTATTTTCGCTTTACGATGTTTTCGCTCTACAGCTATTTCGCTGGAACGAATTAACATAGTTAAGCGAGGCACCACTGTACAGCATTCCCCAGTATGATTCCTTTCTTTGATGCAATTTAATTATTAAAAGTCTGCCTGAAAGGGAAAGGTTTTACCTACTCCTTAAGGAACAGCTGAGAGGGAACCAACGGTCTTCTGGGGGAAGCATTCCACTACATGGGAGCATCCACTGAAAAGGCCCCCTCTGACATGGTCACCAATGAGGCCTGTGAGATTGGCAGGACCAAGGGAATGGCCTCCCCTAAAGATATTTCAAACTGAGGAGGTTTGTGTGGAATATGCAGTCCTTCAGACAACTTGGACCCAGTTGTGTAGGGTTTTAAAATCATAATCAGCATTCTGGAAATGGACATAGTAGCTTGTGGAGTTGTAATAGAAGAATCATATGCTCCTATAACCAGTCCTGGTGGCTGCAGCATTTTGGAGCAAGGCAGCTCCACATAGAGCATATTACAGCAATCCAAAGCAAGATACAGTGGCACCTCGATTTATGACCGTAATCCATTCCAGAAGATGGGCGTAAGTCGAACTGGTCGCAAGTCAAAGCACCATTTTCCATTGAAATGTAATTAATCCATTCTGGCCGAAGAAAAAAGTCACAAAAAAAATCACTGCAAGACTCATTGGAAACGTGATTGTGACAAACCCAGACCTACTGGGATCTATCACACAGTTACTAAGCTGCCACCAACCATTCCCTATAATAAGTCACACAGACCAGGGATGGATTTTTAAACAACAAAAGAATAAGGTTTATTTTAAATACAAACAGGGTAAATAAAACAATCAGGTGAATAAAATAAAGTAACGTGGCTTATTCTCACACACACAAGCATACAGTTTGGTTCACCTAGAACCTTTAACTTAAAGCACAGACCCTGAACCCATCAGTTCTGGCTAACCAACAGACCCCTGAAGAAAACAGCACCTTACCTTACCAGGCAGCCTTCTCAGTTTGTGCACACTCTTAACTGTTGGGACGAAAGAGCTACAGAGAAGCAGCCTCGTTTTCACCTACAGTTAGAAATTTGAATTTCCCACCTTTTTTCCCTGCCTTTTTCTGTTGGTCGAAAGTAGAAGCCAAATTTTGCAGCCGGACCTGGTTGTAACTCAAAATGGTCGTAAGTTCGTAAGTCGAGGCATCACTGTAACAAGATCAGATTTCTCCAGAAATGGCCACAACTGGCATGCCAACTTTAGGTGTGCAGTTGTACTTCTAGGCAGTGGCTAAACCTGGACATCCAGGTTAAGGGATGAATCTAGGAAAGAACATCCAAGCTCTGAACCTTTTTTTTCCAGGGGTTTGTAAATCCATCAAGTATAGGCAGAATCTCTATTCCCTGATCATCCTTTGAGCACCTCTGTCTTGGATTGTCTGGATTGACTTTCAGTTTGTTTGCACTTAACCCATCCATTACTGACACCAGACACAAGTTTAGAACTAAAACAGCTTCTTTGGAGGCAGATGGAGAGAGAGAGCTGGGTATTATCAGGATACTGATGAGAAAGGTGAAGACCTTTCTATTTGGGCCGGCTTTTCCTTAGTGACTGGCTGTGTAAGAGAGGTGTTTTTGTTGCTTTTAAATCATTTTTAGTAATGCTTTTACTGTACCTAACTTTTTATATAGTATTTATTTAATTCTTTTTTAAATCTTCGAATCATTTGCTTTTTTTAGCTTTTAATGATATAAGCCACCTTAGTTCTTTTGTTTAAGGAGACAGTGTAAAAATATTTTGAATAAATAAAAAATAAACCTCTCCCAGTGGTTTTCTAGTTATATGTTAAATAATAAAGAGAACGGAACAGAACCATGAGGGACCCCATAAGTCAGTAGCCAACATGTCAGACAGGAGTTCCCCCAATGGTATCTTCGCAACTTGCTCCTCCATGAGGGATCAGAGCTACTGCAAAACAGCTCCTCCAAAAAATATTATTATTTTTAAATTATGGCTTAGGAGGATACAGTGGTCAGTGGTATTGTAAGCCACGAAGACGTCCACAGATGCTAAAGAATGGAATATTGGAGACTGGTCAATAGTTGTTCCATATGGTGAGACCCGAGGAGGCTTTTTCAGGCCTTCTCTTCCCCCCCCCCCCGAGGTGTTTTTATGAACATGAATAACAAGAGTCTAGTATCTACATCAGTGGTTCTTAACCTTGGGGTACTCAGGAGTTTTGGACTGCAACTCCCAGAAGCCTTCCCCACCAGCTGTCCTGACTGGGGTTTCTGGGAGTTGCAGTTCAAAAGCATCCGAGTAACAAAGGTTAAGAACCACTGATCTACATGGTGGCCCTCACCTCTCCAAGGATTCTGCCTACACCCTTGGACTGCATACATTGAAATATATCAATTATCATGGGACAAAAAGGGGACAAAGTTTCATTTGATCTATGTTAAATATGGCATTAAAGTGTGATTTTGTCTGTATAGTGTCTGTATGACCTACTAATACGTTGGTTGTTTTCTTATGCCCAGCAAAGCTAAATGCAAATCGTGGTGGGGATGGTGGTGGGCTGGTCTCATGGCCTGAAGAAAACTTAAGGCATTTGGTGGTTCTCTTTTGGGTTTCAACTTCTTCTGTTTGATTGGTTTTTTTCTTCACTTCCATTTAGATCAGAACATGCGCCGAAAGAGAAGCCAAGAAAAAAGATGACATTCCAGAAGAAGACAAAGGCAATGTGAAGCAATGTGAAATAAATTACGTGTATGTAATGACTGCTTCCTGGCTAGCAGTAAATAACAATTCCTTTAACTCCTAGCTTTCTTGACAGATAACCTTTAAGAGTTTTGATGCCCGAATAAACTTTGCTTCATATAAAGATGGATAGACCTGGTTTCATTCCATGTTAGTACTTATTATCCACCCTGTGCCTTTTGTTTTAGAGAGCAACTTGCTTCCACAAAACAAGGAAAAGAGGTTTTGTTTTCACTTATAGAAGTGATATATTACACAATTTGCCTTGTTTATCATTGTGACAGTAAATGGAATCTTACTTTTTTTATTAGTCCTTAATTGAGGATTTGTATTTTCTGTTGCCTAGAAATCACCTTCTGTCCCTTCCTGTACCCCTTCATTATTTAGTGGAACTTTAAATCAGTGTGATGCACTGCTACCATTCATAAAGTGGGGGCTGCAGTAATGTGATGTATGGCTTCCTCATGCCCTAGCAGAAATGCACCTGTCCAGTATTAAAAGCAGTCACTGAGCATGCTCACTCTTCTTTCAGTTCTTTTGGGAGGTAGGATGTGCCCTTCTGGTTTTTTAGTTATTCTCACTTCTCATATCTCAGAATTTGCTGAAATATGAAGATGTCACTCTTCTGTCTCAGTGGCCTAGTTTTAACCCATTTTGGTCCCAGTCTGGTGTCACAAAGCTACTTGCAGATGCTATTAATAGAAAAACTCTTTAATTCAAACTGAAAACAAAGGCCTGTGTTTTCCTTTTCAGGAAGAAATTTCAGAGTTTTCAAGACCGTAAACTCAAAGTAAGTCAAGAAGACAGTAAAGCTTTAAAAAAAGCTAGGAAAGAAGGCACTTTTCATGAGGCCCTGCTGGACAGGTATTCTTTCTTTCATATAGAATTGTCAGTCAGAGGTTTTCAGTAACAATAGTAGCAATAACTCAATGGTAAATGCCTAATCATTTTTAAATTTATAATTGTGTCTCTAGTTCTTTCCGTACATCTCACTCCTTAACCCAAAAATAGTAGAAATGAAATTCAGTGACTGTTCCATCTGCCTGAATTTGTGTTCATCACTGCATCTGAGGGCTGTAGAACAGCGGTCCTCAACCTTTTTGGAATCGCGGACCGGTTGCGGGGGTGGGCTCCATGCCGGGGGGGCAGAGATCCGTCTCTGTGGCCCAGTCCTGGGAAGCCCATGGACCGGCACCGGGCCAGGGATTGGGCACCCCTGCTGTAGAAGACATGATTGTGCTTCCCTCTTTTGAGCAGACAAAGGGCACAACTGTCTTTACACACACTGAACCCAGCACATGAAGCAATCATGATAGGAGTCATTGCACCTTCAGGCCTAGCATATCTTGCAACCAAGCTGTTTATCCTGCAGCCACCTGGGCTATAAGGGAAATATAAAGCTTTTCAACCTCTTACTGTGATGACCTGATGGTATGCTCAGGAAGAACCACGGGGTCCTGTGGGAATCATTCCATAGTTACATGGTGGCAAATTGTGCCCAAAAATTGTACTGTCATTTTTTAAAAAATCCAGATGTTTTTGTTTTCCAGCTTAAAGGTAGGACCGGGAAAGGGGGATTTTAATGGTTAATGTTACAATCACTTCAGTAACCAGCCTCTTAATAGGCTGATTTCACACCTGTTGTGACTTCAGCATTTAGTGGAAGAGTTCCTGGATCTGAAATGTGGGTAGACGTTAAATACAGCTCACCACCGTATTGTGGAAGGGAACCACTTTTGGATATTTCCTTGGCTATATGGCCTATTTACGGCATAAAGACAAGATTTGCAGCATTTATGGCAAACTCCAGGGAACAATCATACAAACACAGCATAGGCTGACTGGCTCACAAAGTCAGTTACATCAATTGATAATCATCTCTTGATGCCTCTTGAGTTTCGATCTACGCAAGTGAGTCAGGCATCTTGCGGCTTTCCCAAATATTGATGGACTACAACTCCCATCATTCCTCACCTATCTGTGAGACAGAGGGCAAGAGGGATAACCCACTGGCTGGAGAGGCGCCCCTCAACAGCAAAGCTAAGGAAGTGGACCCCAAACCCGCACCACAGCCTACAGAGAAATCTCAGCAAGAGATAGAAGAATTGATGGAAGACATGAAGAAAGTGATGATGGGGGAGGTTTAGGGAGAAAAGGCAGGAAGAGAGAGGAAAAAGGGTGGAATTTGAAGAAGGAATGGGGGAGATAGAGAGGAAAGAGGGGAGAGAGGAAAAAGAGGGTGGAGTTTGAAGGAGGAACGGGGGAGATAGAGAGGAAAGAGGCACAGTTACCATCCAGTTGGGAATGGGTGTGGATGCAGGATCCACAGACTGGATTGTGGGAAAGATTAAGAGTTCCCAAAGAGGAAGCAGATTACAGAAGAAGAGCAAAGATCCCACCAAGACACTCTTACTGCGGAGAGGCCAAGGCGAGACAGCAGAGGAGGAGACTGAGAGAGGAGAAAGAACAAATGGAGAGAGAAAGAAGAGAAAGATTGGAATGGAAGATAAGGGAGATGAAAAGGAGTTACATAGAGGATCCTGGGAGAGCCGAGATGCCAATGGATGGATCCTGTGGGATGATGACCTGGATGAGGAGACCGTGCCCCTGCTGGAAGGCCCAACGGGACAGACCGTAAGAGACTGGGTCCCCACTGATTTACCGGGACCGTGGAACCATAGTTTTGGAAACCCATTCCTGTTTGAAGAATGGAAACCCCTTCCGGACCCGTTGGCAGAAGGAGAAAAGACTCATAATCTTATTCCAGACACTTCTTTATAGGAGAAAAGACTCATAATCATATTCCAGACACTTGTTTATTATTAAATACACCAATACATCTTTCACATGTTTTGGAGCAGCAAAATCGGCTGGTTTCTTTGAACCAAACATGGAGCCAAAACGTGAACTCTCACACCATCTTACCATGCTCTTTTTGCTGCTTTTTTCCTTTAGTTTTACTTTGTTGAATTCCAAGGAACATTCCAGAACATGATGCAACAGCAATTGTTTGATTTTAAAATCCTATATCATTCGTTTATTTAAAATACATGCCACCATTCTCCCAAAGGATCCAAGGCAGCTTAGAGTATTAAAAGAAAAAATTAAAAGACAAATAATAAAGTGTTACAATAGTAAACAAGCATTAAGCATGTACAGTGGCTTGTTGAATTCCAAGGAACATTCCAGAACATGATGCAACAGCAATTGTTTGTATAGCCATTTTAAAATCCTATATCATTCATTTATTTAAAATACTGTACATGCCACCATTCTCCCAAAGGATCCAAGGCAGCTAAGCAAAACGCGGTTTCCCATTGAAATGCATTAAAAACCGGATAATCCGTTCCAATAGGAACGAATTGCCATCCTTAAGCGAAACATGATTCCCCAATTAAAATGCATTGAAACCTATTCAATGCATCTCAATGGGGGGAAATACAACAAATTAAAAAAGAGTCAGAACAAAGTCAAATTTGGTTAACAAAGGGTTTATTAAGTGCACTTTATGATTTCAAACATTTTAAACAGTACACTTTAACTTGATAAATCACAGAAAAACATTTAAAAAGCAGCGAACATGAGGCTGTTTAAACCATCGTTAAGCAAAACAGGGGACCCAAAATTTAAGCGCTATGCGAAGCATGGTCCCAACCATCGGTAAGCGAGAATCGCCCATAGGGACCATCGCTAAATGAAGCACAAAAACGCTCCGTAAAAGTCGTCGCTAAGCGGTTTCGTCGCTAAACAGAGCACCCGTTAAGTGAGGCACCACTGTATATTAAAACTCATAATAATAACAATATTAAAAACACAAGCAAAGAACAGAATAAAATACTCGCTTTAAAAAAATCCCCTTACATGGCCAGTTTTCATTTGATGATCTTAAAGAAAAAATTTAATATGGTTTTAATATTAGGCTTGAAATGGCGATTTATTGAGCTACTGAGTACTGAAGAAAATTGGTTGTCTTTGGTTTATCTAAAGTGAAATGAATAATGCTAAATTTTGTATAGTGACAGTTACTTTATATAGATATATCAGTCATTTTAATCCTTCTCCCCTTTGTCTTACAGGAGATCGAAATTGAAAGCTGACAGATACTGCAAATAGTCAAAATAGAAACTGGTGTTTTATTTCATGTCTTCTTTTATCTGTGGCTCTTTTGTATGTGAATTCTCTTTGGAAAAAACACATTTTTTGTGGAATAAACTTAAATTACACTTCAGGTTTATTGTCGGCTATGAATTTTACTATTTGCTATCTTCCTGTTTTAGATGGGGGGCATTATTAGTATGTTTGTTTTACTATTTTAACTTTTTAGTTTTTTAACTTACATTGTGATCAGGTTTTTATTGTGATGCCTACATAAACAGGTGGGATAGAAGTATTATCAACAGTATTTGGATGAACAAATATTATGTAGTGTTTTAAATTGTAGTCTTGACAATAATTTTCTAAGAAGCAAAATCATCTGAATTCCGTGGAAACATCTTCTGAACAATTGCTTCTCTTCTTATTTTACACTTTTTCCCCCTTATTTTACACTTTTATGTGTGGTATGCTTAGTAACACCTCATATGGAAAGCCATGCCTGCTGGAAAGTTGAGCACATAGGATCCAAGTGTGAGGCTATTTTTGCTGCTCAGTTCACATTTTCCTAGTTAAAGTTTGTTCCAAAACCCATGAGAAAACTGAGAGTATTTTATTTTCTGAAGAACTTCTCACGCAGTGAATGGAAATTTTGTGAGAAATTTATGAACACTATTCCTACACTGCAGGCTTTACCAGAAAGTATATGCTTATTTGACAATATTTATTTTAGAATAAATGCATGACTGAAAATGAAGTTTGCACTTACTTCTTTGTGTCAGCAGAGGGCTCATATTCTCTTCAGTATCAAGGCTTGGTCTACAGAAAAACAAAAAGTTGTAAAAATGGATGTTACCATTTCAGGCAGCAGCTGAAAGATTTTGGGTTCTTCTAAAGTTGCACCTGGGCTTTTTACTATTCTGAGAAGCCCACCTAATTTGAGGGATCCTTTCTTGCTGGAACATTTATTCATATCAATTAGAAAAAATACATTTGAGCATGCATGTACTTCTTTCAAAAACCAGGTACAGTGGTGCCCCGCATAGCGACAATCCATTCCAGGATTAACGTCGCTATGCGGGGGGGGACCCCTATCCGGATTCGTCGCTATGCGGAGGGGGGAACCCAAAACTCCATTTAATGTGTTCCTATTGGGGAAAAACTCACCGCTATGCGGGGAATCCTCCATCCGGCCGCCATTTTCGTCACCCGGTAAGCGAGGGCAGAGGCAGCCATTTTGGAACTGCCGATCAGCTGTTTGTAAAACATCGCAATGCGAAGATCAGTAAGCGAAATGCTTACCAATCATCGCAATGCAATGTTTTCCCTATCTAAAACATCGCAATGTGATCGCATTAGCGATCGCAAAAAACACGTCGCTATGCGGATTCGTCGTTAAACGGTGCGCTCATTAAGCAAGGCACCACTGTATATTTGACATCAGAAGTATTGTGCTAAGATTTTATGTCATTAAAATTGGACAACCAAAACTGTATTGTGTCTGCAGTGTATAATTCAGCTGTATGTATTGCGGCCCTTATTTTGTATTTCATGAACAATGTAATAATAATTGCATTCCGTCAAGTCCATTTCAACTTATGGTGACTCTTCTAAAGGTTTTCTTGGTAGACAATACACAGAGATGGTTTACTCTACCTTTTTTCCACAGCCTGCCATGACTACACATGCTGGCTGTCCTCACAAGAGGCACAGTGGGGAATCAAACTCCCAACCTCTGGCTCTACAACCAGACACCTAAACTACTGAGCTATCCAGCCACATCTATAAAATTATGAGTGTTTACATGTAGTGACCAATGATGTACAAGAGAACGTACTGTAAACTTATCAACCAATTCATTAAGTGAATTCACAACTTCTTTGTGAGCTTGGGGTACCCGTCCATTTCATCTTGTTAACTTAAGAAACTAGTTTAGCATTCTGTAGATAAATTGTCAGGCATGGCAGCTGCTGTTGCTCAGAGCTGGGAAAGTGACTTTCTTGTACTGGTCATGCTGGAAGAATTCAAGGAGTTATAATTTGATAAATCATTTTTCCAAGCAGAAATAATTGATCACAAACATCGGAACTCACAGATGATTTAGAACAATCTATTTCAGACCATCTGTGTGGTTTGATTTGTGGGACCCTGCAGCACAGGCTTCTGCGGTTGAGTCCACAGCGCCACCACGTCCCACAAGCAGAAATAATTTATCACAAACATTGGAACTCACAGATGATTTGGAACAATCTATTTCAGACCATCTGTGTGGTTTGATTTGTGGAGGTGGTGCCTAATAATAAAGGAGCTACAATTTACAAATTGCAACACACAAATTAGGTGTGGCAGAATTTATCAGATGCAACTACATGGAAAACTCAGATTCTGGAGCAAAAGGAGTCCAGCATTATTTATTCTCTCCTCCCTTTGAGAAATATACATGGAATTAATGCAATTTTGCCCTGGGAAAGAGTAGAGGCTCAGGATCATCCCTCAAGCTTCAGAGATGAGATAAGACAAGAAACCACATTTGCCTGATCCACGTTCAATATTGAAGCACGCGCGCACACACACACCACACATCGTTTTCTGACAAAAGCAGAAAATAATTGTGAGGCATGAAGCGAGGGGGTAGAAGCCCTTGCCAGAGTGCCATCTCTGACAAAAGCAGAAAATAATTGTGAGGCGTGAAGCGAGGGGGTAGAAGCCCTTGCCGGAGTGTCATCCTCCCTCAGGAGGCGCGAACAGACCCGCTTGCATCACCTGTGGAGACTGTGCAACAGGGAGTGGATACCTCTGACAAAAGCAGAAAATAATTGTGAGGCGTGAAGCGAGGGGGTAGAAGCCCTTGCCGGAGTGTCATCCTCCCTCAGGAGGCGCGAACAGACCCGCTTGCATCACCTGTGGAGACTGTGCAACAGGGAGTGGATACCTGTGAGTTAGAATGGGGTTTTGCTAAATTGACTGTAGCCACTCAGTGGAGGCGGGAATGGGGGATATAAAAAGGACAAGAGATGACATACCCGGGGGCTGGGAGCTAATATGGGTAGAAGACCCCTGGACAGGAATGTTGGAAAAGGTCCAGGTTCCCAGGGAGGAGGCAGACTATAGAAGAAGAAGTCTGCCTCCCCGACCCTCCTATTAGGGTGAAACAGAAGCACGTGAATGGCGCCGGAGGCTGAGAGAGGAGAAAGAAGCCGTTGAGAGAGCTGAGAGAGAAGAGCATGGAGACTGGAGAAAGCCCGACGGAGGGGGTTACTGCCGGACCGTGGGCTCCCTTACGAGGAGGGGAGGACCCTTTCGACCCAGAGGGGAGAGACGAGAAGACCGTACTGCTGCTAGAAACCGGGACTGACCCTTTGGACTTGGATGGCAGTAATCCATTTACCCAAGGACCCTGGAATGATTTGGGCTATAACCCGTTTACCAAGGACGTTTCTATGCCCTCGTGGGACCTGTTGGCAGTGAAAGACAATGTTAGACTTAATCCATAGAATAAGGATTTGTTGTTTGATGTTCCAATAAAGCCCAGTTTTGATTTTTCAACCCGAGAGCCTCATACGTCTTTGTCAAAAGCAGGAGAGACCCCATTCGAACCCTCACAATAATGTAATGAAACATGGAATGAACCAAGGTCTAAAAGCAGTAATATGAAATTGACACCATAAAAGTTATGTCCACCTAAAAAATCTTCTGGAAGTCATAAAATAGCTAAAATGAAAAAAGTAAAAGATGGCAAAAGCAGGTAGACTTCAGTCCTATTCATTCCTAGGTGTTAAGTCAGATACATTGGAGTAAGGCCCATCTGAAAAAGTGTGTGCCCTGTGATTCTACAAGTTGGAATGTGGTGATAATAGGATACGAAGAGCAAGACTGAAAAACAAGGGAGTAAAGAAAGGAAAACATATTGTAGTACTGATACCTGCCGCTATTTCAGCCCTGTCTTTTCTCAGAAGACATATGTCATTGTTCATGATCTCTAAATGACAACATAGCTGCCAAAATAATTATGAAAAATAAACTTGCACGATTTCACTGCATGTAAAAAATATACTACTTATCAACAGCTGCTGCTAATTGAACCACCCTAAGCGCATTTCAATTAACATCAGTCATATTCACCCACCACCAATGTTTGCTGTGTAGAATCTAACAGCCAGGTCATGCTTGTGCTGGTAATATATACACTCATGTATGATGCTTGCCTTTTGCTCTTGGTAGCTATCAGATACTGTACAGTTTGTTTCCACTCAGAAGACAGCTTTGCTGATCGAGAAAGACAAGTCTGCTGTCCACACCCTCCTTTTGCAATATCAAACAGCATGTTTAGAAACTGCCATGCCTTCATAACTGGTTTATTCCCACAGTTGTCCTTTGATGCTTTGTAATAGAAGGTGGCTGGGTGTGGCCTGGCCCTTGTGCAATACAGTATGTGATCTGGGTCACTGTTGCCTCCCCTACTTCCAAGGGGAGGGGGCATCAGATGTTAGTGTGACCATGCCCAAGAAAAGCGCTGGTTAATGCAATTTGCATTTATTGCGACTCACAAAGTAGCTAAATTCTGGCAGTGCTCTCTGTGCTTAGCAAGATGCCTTCAGGTCCTCTAGTTGAGTTGACAGCTAAGAGCCTTCCTCAAAGCACCCTGCAGGGTGTGGCTCCCATTCTTAGTAAGTACCAGTCTAAGTCAATCCTGACCACAAGTGAGTTCTGATCCCAGCTGACAGCCTTTTAAGTAGCCACAAGGGCAGGGCCAGGAGCAATTACATTGCAGTAGAAGCTGGGCCAGAGGCTCAATAACCCACTACAGGTGTACCCCTGGGAGGTGCTTTTTTAACTGCTTAGTGCTAGGCAGATCAGAGGCAGTGGTGGTGGACCAGGAACTGGGGAACTAGCTCTGGAAGTGACTTGGTCCCCCTGTGTTCTGTTCCTCGTCTGTGTCCTCACCCTGGCCCACCCTCTGCTCCCTCCCTTCCTGCCTGTCTCCTTGGGGGGGGTCCCCTCTATTCCTAAACAGCTTCTCCTCCTATGTAATCTTGCCCTTGCAGCATGACTCTTCTTGACATTCACATTCTCACAGTCACATTCTCTACTGTGACACACTGGACAACACATGACCACTTTGAGAATTAAAAATAGAAATTCATTGCCAAATTCTAGCACTACCGGTGATTTCAGCTTCCCTAATTTTCTCACAAGGTTTTGCCTTTCTTTCACAATCAGGCAAACGCAGGGTTGCATAAACTGGAGCCATGTCAGTTAAAAGTGAAATCAAACTGTTATCACTGTGTAGTGAGATACACTCACACAGAGGCTATTCCATCAGCATGGATGTTCTCTCCCTCCCAGCAAATGCATACAAATTGCAGTAATCATACTCTGCTAAAAAGTTTAGCAGTACCCTTTGCCGTGAACACATTTGGGTCAACAGAAGGTTTGCTCAGAGTAGCTTGTGTTAATTCTTCTTCCACAAGTGAAGTTGGGCTATACATTCATTAATTTCCTAAGCCAGTAAATCTTGGCTGTTAATTCAGTCTCTGTCCCAAAATGCCCTGTTGGAAGCCAAAGTACTTAATTGATTCTGGCACATTTGGA